AGGAAGTTATAAATCCAAGCGGATATTTTCTGTTCATATGTGAACGAAATATTTCAAATTCAGCTGCCATGCATGCCTACATCGAAGTTGAAATCAAGACACTGTTGACGAAATGTCGCCTCGACAATCAGACTGAGTGAAGCGCTTTGTCTTTACGGGAATATTTTTTGTTCGTACACAAGCAGGTGCCATAAAATAAGCTTAGGCGCTCATCTTTTTGATGGGTTTGGACAGTCAAAAATATTTGTAACGCAATGCGACTTTGCCAACCAGTTAAGCTAGAAAGTTGAAATTTTGTGAAGACATTTTATACTTGTGTGTGACCGGAATATTTTAGTTTCAGCTTTAAAGCATGTTCAAATAAATGAAGTTTAGTTTGGGACGCTGTTTGGTGCCTAATTAATTCCGTAGCAAAATTGAGTGGCTCTTCGTGTACAAATCAATAAACGTAAAACGAGCTTTTGCTTAGAGCATATGTGCTGCGTGCAAGCGCAAACTGCAGTACCGCGCAATCCCAGTACAGGCGAACTCGGTACAAGATGGAATCGTGCAAAAAAGCATGATCGCATCAGCAATTCTGATGCATCGCTATCTCTGTTACTCTTTATTCATGAAGAAAAAAGTTTTTATTTTGCATAATTTTGGTCTAAAATTGTTGATTTTCAGGATATAAGCGAAAATTCAATACAGATATTCTATTATCCATGGTATGGAAATCCTGAGCATGATAATGGGAAGTATTATCACTGGAATCACAAATATCTTCCGCACTGGGATCAGACTCTCGAGGAGCAGTATCCAGCAGGTTGGCTCGACTGCATCTCTGAAATAAGAAGCAGTAGACTGCATTTATCGTGCTGTTGAAGCTCGAAGCTGGCCAAAGCCTGCTCTCATGATTGTTTGGTTTACAAGCGGTTTGTAGTGAGCTTCACTTCTGTGAAGTTCTGATGCTAGCCATATTGCAGCCGTACATCAGGGTCACTCGTGATGGGTCCTTCTTTGATCTGCGTCTTTGTTTGGAACCCAACTCTTGCCTAATGTCACCTTAAAATGTAAGAGGAGCCTGCAAGTATCAGCTATTCGTTTCGATATTAAATTGGCACTGGTGGATGCCAGAGAGGCAAATTTGCTAGCGTTGATGGGTACCCTTAGCAAATTCAGAAGAGATGCCATCGACAGGCGTTTCGAGAGACGGGTTGGGGGTGGTTGCTCTCTGCACTTGCTACTACTCGTGCTACGACCTGATGCTTCTGCTTGTGAAAGGGAACACCATTTGGTAAAGGTATAACGCAGCCCGATGATTTATGCAGTTATCGGGCTTCAGAAAGTCTAATTTGGTAATGAAAACAGTGATTTGCAGCATTGCTCGGTAGTAAGATGCAGCCATAATTTTTTTTAGGCCCACACATTCCACCAGCAGATATCAGCTCAAATTTCTATCCATTGCTGGGACCGTATAGCAGCCGGGATCGCGCTGTTATTGAGCAACACATGAGGTGGATGTCATCTGCAGGCATAGATGTTGTTGTTGTTTCCTGGTATCCTCCGGGGCTTGCCGATGAGGAAGGTACTGAAAATAATTTGCTTTTTGCTCATACATTTGGCTCACCAAACTGTTTTTGTATTTAATAATTATCGGCTCGTATTGGGAGATCGTTGAGAGCACTTATTTTTGCACAGTAATGCCAAGGAATTGTTCAGTGCTGTAATTTGCGTATCATCATCATCGAACTGAGCCGCATAAATTTTTCCAGGACATCCGTGGGATGATTTGATCCCGATGCTATTGAATATCACGGAGGAGTATCGAATGAAACTGTCTTTTCATATGGAGCCTTATGCAGGAAGAAATGCAGAATCTCTTTTTGCCAATATTAAATATATAATTGATAATTACGGCAGCCATCCTGCTTTGTATAGGTTAAAGTGGAAATCAGGTAATTTTTTTGAATTATTCTACTGCTTTGACCAACTGCATTTTGGGGGATTGATTCTCCGACTCCGCATCTGGCAACTTTTCCTGATGCCTTTCACCAGATCCACATCGCCCGATGGTCACCTGGCTGGCGACTTTGATATTCGTTTTGTCTTCTGAAGGGATGATTCAGCGTACTTCCCCACAGAACTACTTAGGGAGGCTTTAGCAGTCTTGAAGTAATGCTAGTATG